CTCTCTCTCTCTCTCTCTCTCTCTCTCTCTCTCTCTCTCTCTCTCTCAAGGGAACTATTAAATCATCATTAGTTTATGAGTGGATTCTACAGCTACAGAGGTTTGGGTGAGTGTAATCAAAGAACTCTGTCTTAGCCACTCATTGAGCAGGGCTTAAAGAGGCAAACTGGCTGGTATGGTGGTATGTGCCCAGGGAAGCTGAGGCAGGAGGATTGTAAGTTTGAGGCCAGCCTATCCTATACAGTGGAAGCATGTATCAAATTTAATTAATTAATTTTAATTAATTGACACGATCATCTTTACGGGCATCCAACATGGAGTCGCTGTGTGGAGTGGTGTTGGGTATCATGATGGAACAGAGCCAGATAAAGTGTGACTCTGCACTCACTCTCTCCCTCCATCACTATACAGAAGAACAGCTCCTGAGTCCCACACCTGCTAAGAAAGCTTTCCCAGCTTTTTCTCCCTGACCTGGCTTGTCACTCCTCCTAACCAGGGCCAAGCATCTGACAGACTAGCATCTGACTCCTCAGACTAGTGTGTGTAACATACACTGCCTGCAGATAGCTACAGAACCAACTGTCTTCAGCTCTCTGGGAAATTTAAGGTATTTGAAAGAAAACCTTTGCCTATAGATTATTTCTGGATTTTCACCTTGGAACTAATTTACAAATATCTCCTTCTCTTCCTTCTTTTCCTCCTCCTCCTCTTCTTCTTCCTCCTCCTCTGACTCTTCCTCCTCTTCTTCTTCCTCTTCCTCTCCTTCCTCCTCTTCTTTTTACTCCTCCTCTTTTTTTACTCCTCCTTCTCTTCTTTTTACTCCTCCTCTTCCTTTTCATCTCCCTCCTCCTCCTCTTCCTCCTCTTCTTCTTCCTCTTCCTCCTCTTCTTTTAACTCCTCCTTCTCTTCTTTTTACTCCTCCTTCTCTTCTTTCTACTCCTTTTCCTTTTCATCTCCCTCCTCTTCCTCCTCCTTTTCCTCTTCTTCCCTCTCCCTCTTTTTCCCCCTCTCCTCTTCTCTTCCTTCCCCCTCTCCTCCTCTCCCTTTTCCTCATTCTCTCCCTCCCTCTTGGTCCCTTCATCTGACTTGTCACTTATAATGTATGCTAAATGAATGTCAAGTCTATTACACACAGAATGTTGTCATGAGGCTAGCCAATAAACCCCTGCTCCCTCTTACCTATACTTGGAAATTTCGTTTATTGAACTCTCCTATACCACAGATTTAAGCGAGTAGAAGGAAGGCCTTTAATTTCATTCTGTAGTGGAGGGGCTCTTGGTGAGCAATGGCACGCCCTTGTCTGCAGGGCTCAGCTGTGCTGTCTTGAGAAAGGGCTGGGGAGCCGTAAAACATCCAAAGAGAAACACCATCCTAACAGTGAGAATCGCCACTGAAAATAGACTTATTCTTCCAAAATAATAAATAGCAAAGAAGCAATTAGCTACCTCTGACCGATACTGTAGTACTGCTGGTGGACGCCCTCCCCCATCCCCCGACTCGTTCTGTTACCATCACTGGTAAACAGGAGGAATTCCAGGTTAGAGCCTCAGTTTGGAATGCTGTCCTAGTGGCTTCACGCTGCACCCGCCACTGAGCTGCTGCTGAGTCTTTCACATAGTCTAAAGGCCAAGCTCCCTTTGAATGGCTGAGTAAGAGATACTGAAAAACAGGGAACTGACTTGGATGACAAATTTTAAGTTGTTTGCGAGCATCAAATTATCAGTAGAAAGGTTCGCAGCAGAGGACCCAGGTGTTCAGGCAGGAGGGAGACTCTTCCTTAAATAAATGTATGTTCAACATCTAGATACGGAGGAGTCTGTGCCTGGGCACCCAGCCCCGTTGTTGGGATGCATGCACACCATTGACATAGACCAACCAGGACATCAGTAGTGTCGAAACAAATAGGCTTGCTAAATACAATTGTGTTTTTTCAGAAAGGAAAACCACCTCCGTCCAAGCTCCGTCTTAATGATCTTTAAAAGCCTTAGGAAGAACAGGGCATGGAGGGAAAAGAATCCCCTCAGGGGATCCTAGCACTTAATGGTGTCCCTTTCACAGTAAATGCTCCCTTTAAATAATTTATAAGTCTTTATCAATGTGTGGATATTTGTGTTTTGTGATCACTCTCAATGTGTCCCTGATATGAGATGGGATTACAGTAATGGACCCACATTTGTAACAACAGATTAAAGAAATTCGGGCCGTTGGTAGGTACCAGAGTGCTCCCATGGCTTCTGTCACACATTCACTCTGACCTTACTGAAAGGCCCCAGGAGTACAGGGAACACCACCACAGTGATGCCACCTGGGGTTACATGAAGCTAAACTGATCTGCCCAGCAAAAGAAGCAGCCAGCAGAAGGAAGGGACATCTGGCAGAGAGGGAAATATGATCTACAACTTCACATCAGACAAGGGGTCAGTGTTTAGGCTATACAAGGAACTGTAGAAATTGGGCCTGTGGAGATGGCTCAGTGGGGGATGTGCAAACATAGGGAACTGAGTTTGGATTCCTCCATACTCGGTTAAAAAACCAGTGAGGGCAGCACATGTTTATAACCCCAGCGCTGGAGTCCAGAGATAGGTAGGTCTTGAGAGCTCAAATAAGTGAGCTCAGATTCAGTGACAGGCCTTGTCCCAAAACATAAGGGGGAGTGTTACAGAGAGCACCCAATGCCAACCTCCTCTACCACCATTGTGTACGTGCACATATATCTGGTGCATATAGCAACTTGTACACACACATGCCAATCGGTGAAAGGATGGGACCCTGTCAATAGAGGACATATGCTGATGAATGGCCATTCAATAGAGGACATATGCTGATGAATGGCCATTCAACTTCCTTAGCCGTCAGAGAAATGCAAACCAAAACTGTTTGGGGAATTCTATCTCACCACAGTCAGAATGGACACAGAAGACCAAATGCTAATGAGGTCGCAGAGAGCGGAATCCTATTTACTGTTGGTGGTGGTGGTGGTGTGTAAACTGGTGGAGCTGGCAGAAATCAGCAGGGTGGGTCTTCAAGAAGCTACAACTTGAACTTGAATGACCTCACTGCTGGCCCTGCAGGACAGACCCAGAGAGCAAAGTCAGCAAGCACCACACAGAGGCTTGCACTGCCTTGTTCACTGACTTAGTATAAACAACAGTCAAGGCCTGAAACAGCCTAGACGATCAGGAAGGTAAGGAAGGTAGGAGAGAGAAAGGGGTTCTATTTAACTGCAAAGGAAAAGGAAGTCATGTCCTCTGTAGGAAGGGGGTGGGGATATCACTCTTAAGCAAAATAAGCCAGACTCAGATAATTATCATACATCTTCTTTAATATTTTATATTTATATATATTTTATATATTTTATATTTATATTTTAGAATCTAGATTTAAAACTCTCCTCTTCTACTCTTTCTCTCTCTCTCCCTCTCTCTCTCTCTCCCCCTCTCCCTCTCCCTCTCCTTCTCTGTGTGTGTGTGTGTCTGTGTGTGTGTGTGTGTTTAAAACAAATCACATTAAACTGAAACTTTCTTGTACTATGGAAGTGTAGCAAGCAGGCAAGCAATGTCGCTTGACCACACCTGCTTCGAGCTGTACAATTCTATTTCGTTGGGTCTCCCAGTAACAAACAATATTAAGCAACTTTTCTTAGTCATTCAGACACTTATCTCTTTGGATATAATGAATACTTAATATAGCACCTTTTTAGAAACTGCAGTGAATGTCTAGGGAGGTGTACTTAGTAGCCGGGCACAGAGTTACACTGCTGACTGTGCCAAAAGACTGAATAAATTCAGAAAAAGAAGCCGGCACCTCGGTCTTTCCAGGCATAGACTCATCCATGGCATTGAGACACAAGATGCCCAGCAGAACGAGCGGTGCTGGAGGTGTATAATGCCTGGTCTCAAATTATGCTGTGGAGCCTACAGTTAAAAAATCCAGTGTGACAAAAGCCTAAAAAGGCAGGCCCTGATGTGAGCGCCTAACTCCATGCTTGCTAAAAACATACGAGAAAGGTGGGTGTCCAGGTGCAGAAGAACCAAACTAGATCCATACCTCTCACACTGCACACAAATCAACTCAAGATGGAGAGAGGGCCTAATGTAAACTGACTCCAGGAGCTGACACTCTGTCAGCTGAGCCAGTGAAAGCTTCCTTGGCTCACCAGAGTCTCTGCCTAATTACACTTGTCATCAGTGGGTCCGCTTGTCAGATTCCAGGTTCGCAAGATCCAGTGGAGAAGGTTCAACAGGTAAAGTCTGCAACTTGAACCAACTGTTACATCTTAGAGATGCATCCAGTTATTTAATGGTCTTTGGGGTTGATCGCTCTGTGGTGCCTACGGGTTTATAAAGTAAATGACACGCCATTAGCATGCACATTTAATATATACGTTATTTAACAAGCTGGGTAAAACAAAGGGCAGTCCTTCTCAGACTGATCCTGATGGACCCGAGGGAGTGGTACCGTCTTAAGGATCTGAGAAACAAGGTGAGACCATGTCTCAAAAATGCAAGGGGGACAGTTCCCAGAGGATGACACCGGAGGTGACGCCAGCCCCAGAGCCACCTCCTCAGCCTCATTATCTGTGATTTAATCTACGAAGTCTCATTTTGCTTCAACTATATGAAAAGCCTCTGGGAGAATTTTGTTGTCTGGTGGTTGGCCGTACACTAGAATTTGTTCTTGCCTGAAAACTCAACCATCAAGCAAGGATACACATGCTACAGTTTCTGTGTACCTGCTTAGACGTAGGTGTGTGACAGTTGCAAAGCAGGAGGCTGTGGACTTGAGAGGGAGTTGGGCGAGGGGCTAGAGGAAGGAAAGGGGAAGGGGAACGGATGTCTTTATACTTTAATTCTAAAAATTGTTGCTGGGAACTCTGCCATTTCCCAAACCCAAGTACCTCTACCAGCACTTGCAGAATGAAGGGGAGGGGACAAAGCCATCATACGCACAGCCACACCTATGCCTAGGAGGTTCTAGTAGGTGCTCACTGTGAAAACCCAGCCACTGTCACTCATGGGCAATGCTGCACTTCAGGACTTTTAGGAGTCTGGATGCTGGAGCATTCTGATTGGTCAAGCCCTTCCTGCCCCAGTACACTGTACTTCCACGTTTATTCCCTTCCTAATCTCTCCTTCATCCCACAGATGTCAGTTCTCTGCCAAAGCCCCTCACCTACTTCTACCTCAGCTTGAGCTTCCAATGGACCTGTCAGAATCCCCAAGACAGGAGCCGGGCTCTGGCGGGATACAGTATAGCCCCGGCATGTAACAACTTCTCCATGTACTGATTCCAGAAAAGGCACAGCCATGGTGCTGAGTCACACCCATGCCAAAGCTCAGGAGACCCAGCCACCCACCTGGACATCGTGTCCCAATGCTCCCTGTCCTAACCAGTCTACTTTAAACACCTCCTCTTCCTGCCCACCACTCAGAGGAACCCTAACCTTGCTCAAGTTCAACTGCCTGCTGACCCTAGAGGGATGGAAGATATGCCCTCGGTCCTCACAGTGCAGTGATGCCTCCTGCATATCCCGCTGTGGATGCAGACAACGCACTGGCTCAGGTGGACTGTTCACACACTGTGCTCTGGCCCTTTCCCCAGTCTCACCGTGATGGAAAAGCTGGAGCTTCTTTGTGCTAGTCTCTGTATCAATGCAGGGGGCTGGATGCATCCTCTCCCCCTGTATCCACCTTCCCCCTCTGTGCCTACCCCATCTCCTCCCCCTGTGTCCACCCTATCCCCTCCCCCCTGTGTTCACCTTCCCCCTCCCCCCTGTGTCCACCTTCCCCCTCCCTCCTGTGCCTACCCCATTTCCTTCCCCCTAAGCCTACTCTATCCCCTCTTTCCTGTGCCCATCTTATCCGCTCCCTTCTGTGTCCACATGTTCCCTCACCCTGTCCCCATCCTATCCCCTCTTCCTATGCCCACCCCATTCCCTCCCCCCTGGTGTGCTAAAATATACACCCTTAAATCATTTAACTACAAGCAGAATTAGTATCAGTGGAGACAAACACAGTGCTTCCAAATCAGACATCCACTCCCTCAATCTCTGTTTCTTAAATGAACATGTTATCACGTCAAACACTGGGTTAGATGCAAGAGGCTAGGTAAATGGGTGGTAGGCCGTGCCACCCAACAGTTCCTGAGACCTCACAACCCGGGGAACATCACAGAACTCCGTGTATGAGAAGCTGTAGGCAGCAGAACCATGGAACAGGTGCTGCTTACAGCTGGAGATTTTAAAACAAATCCGTCAGATCAATCCCATGTCAGGTAAAAACACAAGCTTCTTCAACAAGTGAATGGGCCAGTAGTCGCCCATCAAAAGAGAGTGTTCCTTCTAGGAAGCAATTAAAGTTGTGTTAATATTATTCTTATTTGTGTTTGTATAATGTATAATCTACGTGTGTGTGTTTGTGTGTATATGTGTGTGTGTATGCATATGTGCAGACACATGGGCACATGTGTGTCCTGTGTGTATGTGGTATG